ATGCACGTAGTTTAATTCGCGCTTTGATATGAAATGATACAGGCTACAGCACGCGTCGGCGCCTTTGTGCGTGCAATTGAAGATCACGCGCTACGAGCACAGTACCGTTTCCGCGCTCATTTGACTCTGAAGTGAAGTCAGAGCACGAATCTGAATCGTCTCCTGTTTGATGTGATCATAAAGACGTTCTGCGACTGAATAAATGCACTTCTTGTCAAGAGAAAAAGTGATAGATACAGCCAACCCTAGCTCCGCCCCTGCGTTACTTGCGTTAAATATTTTTAACGCGTTAAACTGAAAAAATTAATCTAACGCGCAAATTTTGACAGCACTAATATATTTATACATTTAATATATTAACACTGCTTATTAATATTTGACAAAAAAAGCATAAAATAGGAAACAATATCACACAAAGAACCCTTCATCTCAATATTTAAATTGACATCTAAATACTTCCTTTACTAGATGATCATCAACTGATGTTCTTAGCTAAACCATGAGAGAAGTTTACATTCCTTCTGCTGGAATGCTCTGGAACAGGACTGGACATGTTTGGTTTACTCTAATAGCCGCTATAGCGCCCCTTGTGGCATTGCTGAGAATACACACACTGGCTGTTGAATTATGAATTGCGCTCTGACAGCTTTCAGAACACGACACATGGATCCAATTCGTATAGCTGCCGTTTATGTACTTGCGTAGAGTATATTTCAAGCCTTACCACTGTGAGATTGAGATACACAGGAATTAGAGTACAGATAAATGAGCTGTTAACACTGCATTCATCTCAAACACATATATTCACCCCATCTGGAGATTCACACGTGTCCATTTGAAATCATGCTTATCTGTCGAGGCTTTTGTGATGACTGTAAGGGACGGGTACGGTAGTCATCTATTCTCTCAAACATCACCGTCTGTCTATTTTACTGTGGCACCGTGACAGCTGGCGTCAGTGTGAGCAGTATGATAGGCTCGTTGGATGCGCTCCAAAGCTGCGTTCTCTGAGACAGACTTCACGTCTTGTGTTCACAACGTCAATGGCTGATGGGAGATTTCCCTGTGCAATTAACTTATACATATGCACATATGACAGATTGATATCTTCTGAAGAGGGTATCAGAGAATCTTAAAGATTTCTTTCCAATATGTACCATAATGACTGTGTTGTATATGACAGCTACTTTAACTGTTCGGTGTTTGTTCAATCTTGCATGTTAATGCAGAGAGGTAGAGGTAGAACTGAGAGACATCAGCGTATTTCATGAGCAATGTGTTTTGTCCAGTTTTTTTCGGTTGAATCCAGCATCTTTAGGGCTGGCTTGATAACATTTAACATTAAGTTGATATCTATAGAGAGTTTATTAATGCTTGTACTTTATTACATTACATTTTGCTATCTCCAGAGACACTCCCAAACAAGCAAGGTCAGAATTTTGCGGCCTAAATAATTGCATCATGTGATCCAATCACAAACCTTTTTTAATCAAATGTTAATTTTCCATGCATAAACTCTTTACTGATGAATTTAATGTTAAATATGATGTGGAATTGTTGATAACCTATCAGTGAGATACAAACTGTTTCTTCTTGCTGGTCTGTTCATAAATGTAGGTATTTGAGAGAGTGTGTGTGTGTGTGTGTGTGTGTGTGTGTGGGGAGCAGATTTTCATTGGCAGGGTGTGTTCATTGTGTTGTAAATCTTCATATATCTGTCGGTCTATCACGTGAATGTCAGAATGTGAGCGAGAGACGGGATGTATGGGTGAAATAGACATTTCACTAAGATTATTCAAAAGTGCCTGTGTATCCAATGGAAATTTATTAGAGTCTATATTTAAGGATGACAATGGATCTGAATGATTTTCCATACCATATTGGTATATCCAATTTTTCTGTTTTCATAACATGATTATTTTTTTTTTTTCTTTGTAAAAGTGGCAGTTGTGTTTTTCACTTTAATGTTCAAGTACATTTCAGATTTTCATTTTCTGCTCTGATGATGATAGAAAATGACTTAAAAGTGAATGACTTCTAAGTGCATTTGAATTCTTTTACATATTGTACAGCTTAATATACAGTACATTACATCATATACGTTGCTCATTACCTCCTTCGCGGATGTTTTCTGGGCAATAATGGTTTATAGTGCAATACTCACTGTAGCACACCAAGAGCAATACATCAGGATAAAGTATACAAAACATCTTACAACAAAATTAATTACGGAGCAAAAGTAAGTTTTTGTTGGAAGCCTTTATTTACTTCATAGACTTCCTTTGATGCAAGGCAAAAGTATCAATATGCAAATAGTGAAATTCTCCTTCCCATGAACAATATTACCAGCTGTTTTCTTACTTGTATAGAGTGGGTTTCTAAAATGTGTGTGGTTTCTGTCGCATCTGTTGTTGTGCTTGTTTGAGTTATGCCAGTCTGGCAAAGAAATCTGTGGCCCTCTGGCAGTTCATCAGAAACCAGCAGCACTGACTCACTCTAGCAGTGAAGTAAACAACCTGCTCTGCCTATTAGATGCACCTCTAATGCCCCCAGTTTGTCTTGCAATGAAAACAACAGTTGTATTCTTTCTGGAGCTTTTTGCTCGCTTTATATGCTCTTCCTGAATTGGGAATAAAGCAAGTGGGGAAATAAATTTGGTCCAATACTCTGCTAGTACCTGTTCAGACTTGGTTTAGAAAAATGGTCTTTTTGATTTATTACATTGTTACAAATTAGTTATTACAATGTAATAATGAGAAAAATTCCACAGCTGTTTCGAGGAGTTTATATTTCTTTTCAGTTTGATTAATAGTAGGTGGAAACATTACTGATATGACAGTTTACATAGATATAATGCACTTCTTATTTGAATATTAAATATTATTTATAATAACAAATATCTCTTTATTTATTTATTTATTTTATTTATTTTATTTTAAATAAGGGCATTGAACAAATCCTGACCAAACCAGGGCAAATAAATATTTATTGTAATCATATATTCTATACTATAATGAAAATGTTGTGGTTTTTACTAAATTTCATGATGAATAATGGTCTGAATATCTATACATACAGTTTTGTTGCAATCAGAAATCACATTCATTGGCCAAATGTACGGTATAGAGCCTAAATCAGCAAGGATGTCCATAAAAGTGCCACAAAAATCATCTGACACATAATACACATAATATCCTTTTGCAAGGAATTTAATATATATGATGTTGCTTATATTGACCTTGGTAATATTTAATTTATTTCAGGACCTCACTGTATTATACTAATTTGAAACAAACATTTGAAACTATCTGAGAAACGTGTTGACTATATCAGTTAAAAAGGCCCACAAACACAACTATGCTGTTTGATTTTATCATTTAGCATTTACATTTGCTGCCGAACCATTCAGACCTCTGCTTTAACAAAAGCTTGAAAGTGTTTACTCTTTAAATAATGACAACGTATTAGCAATTACCCCGCGTCTTTCTGAGGTAGCATGAGATCGCTTTGAGTCTTTGTGCCTCTGAATGAGCTCTACAACGATGAAAAAGCCTATCAGGAAGAACAATCTCCAATTAAAGCAGGCTCAGCTGGAGGC